ATGTAATTTGCTTCTTAAGTTGATCCATCTGGCATAGCTACTTTCCTCTTCATTGATTTACTAGAATCGATACTAGAGTCTTAAAATTTTCCAAACATTTCTCATTCTCCTTCATCATCTTCATTTGTTTTTTAACTTTCACATATATTAGGTTCTTTTTTTATTAGGGAATAAACTTAATTAGCATTGGTAAAATCATTGTTCCATACATTCACAAAAAATAAAGGAGTAACCGCAAACCAGAAATTACAATCAGACACAGAACACGCAGCTTGAGCAAAGCCATGAACCGCCCTGTTCGTTGATCATTTAACATGGGAAAAAGAGAAATCCACCAAGCTAGAGTGTTCTACCAAATCGAGGTTCTTCTTTGCATAGAAAAGCCATTCTACGAATAGAAGAAAAAATTTCTGACTGAAATTTTCTGTCGATCAATATGTCAACAGAATATCAATCCAAATTAAATTTTTATTGTCGAGATAATATGATAATATCATCGTGTATTAGTATGTGTTTAATTGGACTGAAATTTTCTGATATGATCTAATCTGATCTAGTCTATTTAAATCTGATGTGATATAGTCTGATCTAATCTTTTTTTATTTGAGACTGAAGTAAGGCAAAACAAAAACATCTTCTTTCATTTTTATCAACTAAACACACCTAAACAAGTAAACATAGAAAACCACACATTGATGACTCACCACGAAAAGGCCAAAAGGGCATGGGTCCTCTACTCTTTATTATTTCCTGGATGGACCATATTTCATTGATTTGGGGTATATACGGAGTATATGATATGTGAAATATTGATGTTGTGTGGTCTCACATTTTTGTATTAGGCTATGTTTGCAATTGCTTTGATGGATTATTAAGGTCCGGCCCAATATACCGGGAGGTCCGGCCCAATGATGGGCTGCAATTGCCTTGAAGCCCAGACACAAGGGAAGCTCCAGGGAAAATCATCAGGCCCGAACGGCAAACCCCGTTCGGCACATCCCGAACGGGATGTAATTAGCACTTGGGTAATTAGCCTATTCCTGATTGGTGGCTTAGTTTGGCTTAATCCCGAACGAGAATCGCTCAAGTAACCAACTGCAGTTAATGCTAGATCATGGGGGCATCAAGTGGCAAGGGAGGCAACCAATCATATTAGAGCACCACATACCCTCATCTAGTATAAATAGCATCATTTAATTCATTTGAAGGGTTAGCATTTATTTACTCTCTAGCTCTAATAGCATTCTAGCTCTTGTATTAACTGTTGGACTTGAACAGCCGTTTGGCCATTTCTGTGTAATTGTTATTACTTCATTAATATAAGCTGAGTTATTTGAGTAGTTGAATCAGATTTTATATTTTCTTTTATAGACTTTACTGTAGCAAATCACACTCTAGATCCAAGGTTGGTGTTGGGCCTTAGGGTCATTCAGGACTTAACCTCAACATGCTTAATTTAAGAACGTTTGAGCTTTTGGCATTGAAAAAGCCAAAAGTAATGTTTGCAAATGCACATTTCTGCTTAATTCAAGTGTTTCTAAGTCAAAAGTTGAAAGCATGTATAGAGATGCTTTTATCTGCTTTTTTTATAATTAATTCAAACTTGAAGGGTAATCATATTGTATAGGTAAGCTTATTCCAAACATGCCCTCAGTCTGGTCGTGTTCCCTTTATTTTTCTATCATCTTTTTCAACATACGTGACATGCCAGCATCATCTTTACGGAGGTCGTTTCTTTTTTTTCAATATATACGATCGTATGTACTATCATATATACTTCCTCCGTTCCATAAAAGTTGCAATATTGGAATTCATGCACTATTCACACACCTTACTTTGACTACGATTTTCTAATAATATATATAATAAAAATATTATGTATAAAATATTAATAAATTTGTATTAGTGTAAATTTCCAATATATTAACTTTTTTTAATGTTTACTAATACGTAAATAAATATAATTACAGTCAAAGTTGCGCGTTGGCAAACGTGAAAGTCAAACTGTTGTAACTTTTATGAAACGGAAGATAGTATATATGTGTCTGCATACATATATCATATATGGGGTTGAAGCTCTACTCTAAAGAGTGAAACTAGCTAGTTAAGGTGCTTGCGGCATCAATAGTCAATACATGTATACCTGTTTTTGCAGGCAATACGAACCATAACCTATTGAAAGAATGGCTCCTATATTACTAATAGACGTTAGGAATCCAAAAATATGATTAATTAAATACTTTCCACAAAACTGATGCTCCATTCCTCTCTCCACGCAATTCATCGCCTCTTCCACTTCTCCGGTCGCCATCCCCGATGCTCGTCATCCTGATGTCTTCATCTTCTTCCCTTTCTTTAGTCAACAATTAGGAGTGATGACATCTGCACCGCCTCAATCGACCATCACATTGTCGCCGCCTCCCGGTCACGCCCCCTCTGTCGGCCTCTAGATAGCCGGTTGCTTCGATTCTTCTTATAGCCAAGCTCCATAGCTCCAACTCTGTGATGCTCAACCGATGTTGCAACCTCGCCACTATGGCCCCACCTCCAATGCCCACACAATCGAGATTCCAGATCGAATTTGAAGGATTTCGCATTTTTTCAGATTTGGTTCGTGTTGGATGACTTGGGTGTGGTGGGGGTAGGGAGGTAGCTTGGGCAGGGCTAGAAGCTAGGGCGTGGTTTGTGGGTTGGGGTACGACGCTGCTTGGTGGGGCTAGGATGCGTTATTGTGGCGGTTGGGGAGTAATGGGGCAACAGTGGTCCAGGGATATAGCTAAAAGGGGCAAGGGAGATGGGGTGGGGGGCCTAGGGGTTGGGGATGTGGAGGTGGCTGGAGGCTAGGTGGGGGTGGGAAGGTGGCTGGAGGCTAGGGTGGGGCTGGGGAGACTGGGGGTTGGGTGGTGGTCGGCGACAGTCCATGGTGATGATCAGCGGTGCACTAGGGCGGGGTAGGCTAGGGACGGGGCTGTGGGGTTATGAGGACTGAGGAGCAAGGGAGGGATGGGGTTGGGGATATTGAAGGCAACGTGTCACTGTGGCTGGAGATAGCGTGTCACTGTGACCGGAGATGGCATGTCATTGTGGTGAGGTCACTATGACAAATGGCCAATGGGACAAACATTGTGGTCGATGGGGGCAGACACTCTGGCCGGTGGAGGCAATCACTGTGGCCAGTGAGCAGTCACTGTGGCCAGATCAAAGTCACTTTACACTGCAGGGTTAATTTTTATGTTGATCACATTTTTGGAATTTAAAAAAAAAAAACTTTTTTCTTTTATCTTATTTTTAGAAATATTAAGGCCAAAAGTCCTAACCTTTTTTAAAAAAAATATATATCTATACACAGTGGCGTGTCCAGGATTTTCATGGGGGGTGGGCAAATTTACATTATGAAGATTATTATTATACGCATTTCACAAACAATCGGTAATATTATGAAAGTGATGTTACAAAAATAAATATAAGTAACAACTCTTTATTATAAAAATGTGCAGAGGCGGCTTGAGCATTTTGAAGGCCCCAGACGAAAAATATTTACTATGTACAAATCACTTTTAAAATCAGATAAATTGAATAAAAATCGCCTTATGAAAAAAAGCATATTCAAAGTCCACGATATAATGTTTGTAATATTCAAAAGGATAAATTTTAAAATGCAAACTTATTCAAAACACAAGGCAAACTTGTACTTGTAAAAGTATTAAGAGACTTCAAGAATGAGACTCAGAGAGAAGTGCTGAAGAGTCTTAGTTGATTCACTAACCAAGGACCCATGTCGACGGTGAGCAGTGGGGCATATATACAGTAGCCGATTAGCGGTCTGTGTTGGACGTTGATGCATGTTGAGATCGGTTTTTGATAGTTTTTTCCTAACTTTAAGGTGTCATAAATCTCAATTTTAAGCTCAAGTCATATTTACCGGCCGTTGGTTCGAATTTTGGTATTTTTGGAGTCAAAATCAGGGAATTTGAGCTTGACACCGGTGTTTGGGAAGCAATAGGGACGAGTTGAGAAGCATTTTAGAGTTGATTAGGAGCATTGGAGATCAGTGAGGTGTTAAAGACAAAGTTTTGAAGACAAAAGAGCTCTAGAATTGGCTACGGGATCAAAAGAAGACGAATAGAGCTTGAAAACAACGGTTAGGATGACGTTCTGTCAATCGTTCAAACATATCTTTTCTTACGAACATCCAAAAAACATGATTCAAGTTTCATATGAAATCCAACTTCAAGGGCTACAAATCATATGAAGACATCATTGTGAGAATATGAGAGAAGCAAGGTGAAAACAGACGATGAAGTCAGACAATCTCTGTTGAGATTTCAGAATACGACCTTCCACCATTTTATTCATATATTTTTATTGGATGATTCAAATCCAGTTTTGCAAGTTGTGTTGGATAGAAGACTTCATTAGCTACAACTTTGATGAAGGACGAATAGTCAAAAGTGAACTATAAAGCTGATTTCTGCTTGCAGTTGCCGCTTGGTGTATTGGCGATCTGCGAATAACACCTAATACTAATACCGGAGTAGAATTCTTTGGAGGCCCCCTTGGTAGTTGAGGCCCAAGGCATTTGCCTGGCCCAACTGCCCTCAAAGCCGCCCCTGAAAATGTGACATATTTTGCTTTTCATTTCATCAAAAAATATTTCACATTCCTTTTAAAAATAGTTGTTATTGTTGATGTAAAAACGCATTTATAATAAAAGTACAATATATTAATCATATAATTTGTACATTCAAGAAAATTTTGTAAATAGTCGGTAATTTACATACTAAATGAAAGAAAACATTCAAACTAGACCAACAAAGGTATTCTGAATGTGAGTTTTTTGGGGCAGGTTTCTAAGTGTCACGAAACCGTAAAAATAAAACTAACAAAACTAAAGGAAAGAAAATATTAAACTAAACCAACAAAAGTACTCAAAATTAAGCAAACTAGGGATAATTTTGAGAAGTAAAATGAAACTACCAAAACACAAGGTATTTGGGTAGGTGGGAGTTCATTGAACATTTTTTTACTCTAGGGAGGTCTAGGGGAGGGGGCTGGGGAGGCATGGATTAATCTATCAGGGCTGAAACTCACTCCATTGAGCTTCAAACCCTTATGTGTCTAGCTGGTTTCGAACTCGAGACTAGGAGTGGACTCGGGTCGGTTGGCCCGGCCCAGAACCGGACCGGCCCGCTACTGTGCAGGCCCGGACCGGCCCGGTGAACCGGTTGGTGCCCGGTTCAAGCCACCCGGCCCGGTGAGGTAGGCGATTCATGCCCGGCTAAATAGTGAACTGGCCCGGCCGGTTCGGGCCCTATCCGGGCCAATTTATTTTTCTTTTTTTTTGAATTTCTTTTAAGTTTTTGGGTTGGACTAGGTATGATGGGCCATTTGAGGTGGTTTGGGGTGAGGGGGGAGGGTTGGGGGTTAATTAGGAAAAGCCAAAAAAAATTACATGAATCGAGGCCCGGCCTGGCCTAGCCCGGACTGGACCCGGGCCAGTTCCGAGCCTCCCCTTTCATGAACCGAGGCCCGGCCGGACCCAGATCCGAATCGGACCCGAACCGGTTCACCCCTACTCGAGACCTTCCACTACGCACAGTAACCTCACAACCAACTGGACTGGAATGCTTGGTTATATCCATTGAACATATAACGACATTAATCGCATATATGTATATATACAAAAATTTTAATATGTATAGGGGATGACCGGATGAGTATGGATTGAGAGGGGGCAGCTGCCCCCACTACCTCCCCCTATAGTAGATCCATCCCTGTCAATACGTATATCTATGGTAAATCTATGGACTTATGGAGAGGCCAAAAAGACGGCTGAGTAGCTCTCACTCTTCAATTTAGATTCATTATTTAATTTGTACAAGGGTATTTTGTATTTTGATAATATATTACATATAAATCATTTTTTTATTAAACACTTCAACTTTTACATTTTAATTTAAATCAATTCTATCCGCAAACACCACATGATTTTACTATTAATAACTTTTTCAAAAATCTCTTAATAAATCGCTTTTAAAAATTATGAGCCATCACAAACACCACCTTAGTTCCGTATACAAAATGCAAACAGCAAGTATACAGCTACGGCTTTTGAACCACATTCTCAATATATGTCCTCTACGGCTACAATGCAAACAGAATCTGCCTTACATCAGCCACAATAACAAATGTGCAAACCTTTAAAGGAAACCAAGGAGTAGCACTGAACAAAGTTATACATTCAAAAAAGAATGAATCTGTTAGATGTATTTTGAAATTCAAACATAGAGAAGTACATTCAAGTACCATCAAATGCTGCAATTATGAGCTGGTTCACGGAAGATTGATTTCATAAGCAGTACATTTGTATGAGTTTCATCTCCTTCAAAGTTCAAACGACCAAGTTTGATGTTTAATTAAATTATATTAAAAGAAAAAGATGTCTGCAAAAAACTCAGATAAGAGAGGATAGAGTTTTCAACATTGAGGATGATAGATCACGGAGCAGTTTCATTCCACCTTCAGGAGAATGGCCAAAATGGCTTGGCATGTAGAACATACTTTGACTTTTTACATAAATAATCATGGAATAAATTCCATTTTTAGTCCTACGAGTTTGATGTCAATTTCACATTTAGTCCACGTCTTTCACTTTGTCAACTTTTGATACATGACTATTGTGTTTTCAACCATATATGGTTCTTCAGACAATGTTTCCGGTGATTAAAATCAATGGAGAAGGACCACAAATAGTCAAAAAACACTAGTCAAGTACCAAAAGTGGACAAAGTGAAAGATGTGAACTAAATGTGGAATTAACATGAAACTCGTAGGACCAAAAGTGAAATTAATTCAATAATCATGACACATACCGTGTTAACCCCCAAACGCATCCCTATAAATGACATAATTAAAAATCAGCAAGGCCACATAAATCCATAATGCAAATCTCTTTTTAATCGGCACTGATCAAAATTAAATACAGCAAGTACCTTGTAAGCCAGACGATTTGTGCCAAGGCACACTTGTCACCAAAGGACAGACAACATTTCATATCTCCAGGCTTTCAACCACCAATATATCTTATAAACACATACTTAAATGTATGAGGTACATAACGGTATGTATCACTGGAAATGGTCCACTCTTTCAGATAGCTGGATCACTATAAGTGAAGAAGCCCCCGTTGTCTTGCAGTTGAGTTGCTTTTTTCATCACTAATTAGCGATAATCCATACCATTTTCTTTGAATTGGAAATATCCTGGAACCCAATTGTGCCTCTTAAGTCCTTGTATTGATATAATAATTGACATTAAAATGAAATCAGTCAAAACCAAGAAGCGGGCAAAGAAGGTCATTCAGCTCAATATAATCTCCTTCCAGAAGGCCTAATATTTCCTCAGAAGACACTGCTTCAAAGAGTGTAGCACCAGCATTAAAATGAGCAGTTGATATCGTCTGCAGAAAAAGAATATGTAAGAATTCAACGAATGAACTTTAAGGGTGCGGTGGAAATCCAAAAATATTGGGAAAGAAAGCATTGGGAAAACAAAAGATTGGTCTAAACACATTTTTGACAATTTTCATAACTAATTTATTTCTATAATATGATGCTAAGAAATATAAAGATATGTAAGAACTTAAAATCGTAAATCATACTCGTATTTCATTTGGATTTGCATTTTTTCGTTGTTAAACCAAGTGCAATTAAATAATTCTTTATAGCAATTTTTTTCCTTTCCTTGGCATTTTCTGAGATCAAAACAGGCTCTAAAAACTAGAACTTTGATGAACAGGTGGTATGTTAACATGCATTACCCAGTCCCCATGAGGTTCACTAACAGGAATCTCTAATTTGCTGACACTTTCCACTGGGAAATTCAAAATGTCTTTTTTCTCATCCTGCACTTCTTCTTCAGTAGCGGATTTTGTGACTCCATTAAACTGAATACCAATGTGACGAACTGTTGCAACACTTTCTTCAGCACATGAACTTAACACATTTTCTGACCCAATATTTCCACGAGGTGATTTAACAAAAATTCGGCACAAGACGAACGCAGCCTGCAAATTAACAAAATCATGTACAATCCTAATTATATTACACTCAAACAGAAGATTGTACTAGCTATAGAAAAAGGTAATGATGAATCATGAATATAAATGTGAAACCCCAATGAACATAGTGGGCCAGAATAAAAAGAACACAGCAAGTTATTCAAATCGTTGCAAATCACATGCTAAAAGTCAACATTTTTAACGCAAAGATCATAGAATTACCAACTCTCAATGTTGATTTAAAATCCTCAATGAATCAATTCAATATTCATAACATTAACCGATGTATATATAAAATTAAGAGTGGCCACCCATCATAATAATAATAATAATCCTCATCATCACGGACATAGACAAATTTGAATGTGTTTGTCCGAGTTTGAGTGAATAACAGACCGAGTCTATAGCAATCGATTTAGTAATACAATAATGGATGTGATTATATAAAAGGGAATCAGCGTAAGATACCGCATTGGGCAGTGCGTACTCATACATAAACCAGTCAGTCCTCATAGCAGTCTTAAGAGATTCCCCCAAATAGAAAGCGAAACAATTACGCATTCCAATCACAACTTTCCCAGCACCTTTCTCGTAGACAACCCTAATCCTCCCTTTCCTTCTCCAATACCCGCCTCCTGCCCTCCTGGATCTTCTATCCTTTAATTTCCTAGCGACGAAGCAAAACCAGTGCCGTCGCCTCCCACCGCGGCCGAACCGATAGCAGGAAGCGTCGGGTAAATTGAAAGGGTCAAAATTGTACAGGTTGATCTCCTTGATTACGTTAATGCCATCGCGATGATCGCCGCCATTCTTCTCCGGGAGGTAGTAGCAGAGGATTTGTTCCTCGGAAGGGTAGAACCTGCAGCCTGGTGGTAGTGTGAACGATGTCGCGTCTTTATCTATGCATCCCAATGATCCCATTTCAGAGACAATGAGAACGGCTGGGGTTTTCTGAGTACACTGGCGGGGGTTATATAGAGAGAGGAGTCCGGCACTCCGGCATAGAGAAGCTTAGTCTTGACGCTTCCCCAGAGCTTTTATTCTGTCATTCTCGAGTCACTTGGTCAAAATCTATATACGGAGTAGCGAGATTGGTATACCATACCTGCCTTTGTCCACATGGACCAATGAGAATGTAGCAGTTAAATTATTTAAATCTAAATTAAAAATGATAAAGTGGTGTGGTACAATCAAATGAATGGTAGGTACGGTACCCCCATTTTTTAGAAAGGTACCGGAGTTGTCACCTCTATATACTCGTAAATAACTAAATATTACTACCTCCATCCCAAAGGACATAGAAAAAATAGCACAATTATTAAGAAAAATAAATTTATGTGATTGATATAGAATTGATAAGGTCAAAATAAATAGAGGTAGTAAGTAATGTACTTATTAGGCACATTTGGGAAAATTAAGAAAAAAATTCTTTTTTGTCCATTACTTATAACTTATTCTTAAGTAATAATATTTATGTCAAAACCCCATATATATACAATTCATGGAGAATATGCACACAAAATTTTATTAAAGGATTCTAACAGAAAGCACCTTAAACAAGTTTGGTCATACAGTACTTCTCATTAAGCACATTTGACTAGGTCACTTCTCCTATATACTCCCTCCGTCCCTTATAACTTTGTCAACTTTCCTTTTTCGGATTTCCCATTAACTTTGTCACTTTCCTTTTTAAGTAAAGAATTTGTGGTTTCTGTTAATTCTCTCTCCTCTGCACAAACCTCAACCACACATTTTTTACTTTATTAATCCTCGTGCCGGTCAAACTTGGCAAAGTTATTAGGGACGGAGGGAGTATGTATTTTAGAGTAATATGTGGAGCACGTCAATGTGCTAACTATGGAACACATTTAGTAAGTAAGCATGTTAGCGTGATCAATATATATTTTGAGAGAGCATGGTTAGTGAGCACATTGGCGTAGTGCATATATATTGGCATTTTATTCGGCAAATTCTAAAAAGATGAAGACATGTTTCATCATAATAAATTTAAATTATAGGTGAAATAGTCATGAATCAATATAATGAATCTTAATATAGTGTTTTATTGTTTTGTATCAATCCGGTGTGGAACAAATACTTCAACACGCTCCTTCAACCCAAAGTGGGTTGGACAATATCGAGGTGGATAAACAGCCTAAATCGACCATTAACGAGCTACTCTAATTAGGCATGGCCTCGGTCCGGTTCCGACCGGGCTTTTTTGGAGAAGTGGGGCCCGGAAACCGGTCCGGGTAGCTCCGGGCCCGGGTTGGGCCGGTTCACCTTATTTTTTTTCTAATTACTTCCTACCCCCCCCCCCCCAAACCCCTCCAAAACACCCAGCCCAACCCATTTACCTTTTAAAAAATGTGAAAAACAAAAACAAAAATTGTCCGAAGCCGCCGGGCCGGTTCATCAAATGCAAGGCCCGAGAACCGCCCCTCTACAGTGTCGGGCCGGGTGGCCCGAACCGGTCACAGAACCGTGGACCGGGCTAGTCCGGGCCGGAACAGTGCCGGTTCGGGCTGGTTCCGGTTCGGTTAACCTGGCCCGAGTCCATCCCTAACTCTAATACTATATTAAGACTCGAAGTTTCATCCTAAAATGTCAACTTCATAGGAGGAATGGTTCATGATTTTATCTTTGAAGTTTATTCACATACTCAACAATGACACGCGTCCTCTAGGGCTTTCAGGACCGACTCGATAATTATATGGAAGGAGGTAAATTGAACTTTATTCACATCCTAATAGATAGACATCGAGACTCTGACTAATGTTTTGTCCGACCGATGTCATACCCCTTGTGTCGCTCACTTCCTACAAATCGAATTGAGTCTCCACTGCCCCCCTACAAATTCTACATCACCCTCAAAGTAGTGTACTATTGTACTATATGTTTTTTTCCTTTTTTTTATTCCAGGGGGCTGGGGGAGGGGGCTGGGGGCTAGAGTAATCAGGGCTGAAACTCACTCCATTGAGTTTCAAACCCTTATGTGCCTAGCGGGTTTCGAACTCGAGACCTCCCACTAGGCACGGTAACCTCACAACCAGCTGGACTGGAATGCTTGGTTATTATTGTACATTTTGTACTATATGTTATTCATGTAGATCAATATTACAACCGAACAATTCAAACATAAACAAATGATGAAGTAATGACATTGATGAATCAGAATAAAATTTAATCGAAAATTCAGTTAAATAAATTACTAAAAAACACTGCGTCAATATATATATGCACACGCATAGTATAAAACTCAGTTTTTCAATAATTTATTTAACTGACTTCCTGATTAAGATTTAAGCTGCACTTCATGAAGAGCATTCTCACTAAATCTAATCAAAAAAAATTGACTCATAATTATCTCAAATGGAGATGGCCTCACAACGTTCCCGTATGGAAATTCCTGACAAGAACATTTGTGTACATATACATATATATTTTGGATCAAATAAAAAAAAGTCTTAATGTGGAAATATGAATGATTTTCGTTCATGAGATTTGAGATATGATGACTTTAAAAATGTCAACAATGCATCATACTCCCTCCATCCCTTCAAACTTGATCAAGTTTGACCAGCACGGGAATTGACAAGGTAAAAACTGTGTGATTGAGACTTGTGCAGAGAAGAGAGAACTAACTAGAATCATAAATTCTTTACTAAAAAGGGAAATGACAAAGTTAGTGAGACAACTAAAAAAGGAAAGTTGGCAAAGTTTTAAGAGGTGGAGGAAGTATTTGGTTAAAAAACGCGGTGGTATTTTTGTAAATAAGTGAAAGTTTTGGGCACCGTGAATAAGGGCAGTGTTGGACTGAAAAGTGCGTACGTAGTAGCAAAGCAAACATGAAGAGAGAGGGGGTTCTCATATGAAAAAAAGGAAGTAATCTTAGACATTTAAAATTAGAAAATAAGTGGATCGGATTAGTTTTAAAGTGCAAAATAATTAAATATATGACGAAAAGGTGAAGGGTTCACCGTGTTCACAGGAAGAAAATTTTGTATTTGATCCGAAAGTTTTATACGGAGGATTACTGGAAAAGTTGTATTAAACTTGCATTAACTGGTCATTTTTTGACAGAATTTTTAGTGAGGTCCACTTCCAATTTGGGTCGGGTCAATGTGGATTCGGGTTTTCCTTTGTAAGGGATTCGATTTGATATATGATACACTCAAACTGGCTAACAGGTGAATCAGGAATTGATTCTCGAAGTTCACGATAACAGAAAACGGGGTTTTGGTTTTCCTTTGTAAGAGATCAATTCGATATACCATACACTCAAACTGAAAAATGGATGAATTTCAAGTGGAAATTGTCCCACACCGGAAAACTCATAGGATATGCACCACCGGTTTAAATACGTTTCTAGTCCCTGTAATATTACTCACTTTGTTTAAGATCCATGCAAAATATTTTTTTTTCATCCCTATGATAAGTACTATTTTGTTTTTAGTCCATCTCTAATTCTAAAACCACTCAACGTAATAAAAAAATACAGTCTATTGCATAAATCTACTAGAAATATTTAAATTTGTCGTTTCATCATTTTTGGGGGACCAATATGAAAGTTAAAATAATCTAAAACTAAGTATTCACGTTTTAAAAATATACGGAGTATATTAAAAGCCTCCGGAAAAAAATAATTCAATACTTTTTTAATAACATGACAAAGAATTAGAGGAAATCTATTAATCAGGGTTATTTTGAGGTCAAGCGGAGGTAGTTATTATCCGTGGTGTACTAAAAAGAAAATTAACATAAATTGCAGAAATGAAAAATAATAATATAATTTTGTAGGAATGTGACGGTCTACAAAAGTGACGGGCCAATACTAACTGATGATGGTGTAGCTTTAACCGAAGAGAAATTAACTGATGTTGGCGGTTATATAAAGCCAATAAAGGCAATGATTAAGGGACGGAGCAAGTCAGGACATTGTAATGGACTGGATCAATACAAAGAATATTTTTTAAATCTGCACATACAATGATATCGATGTGTGTAGCAACCCCAGTGGCATCCATCTACAATGGGAGCAATTTTTTACGATCGTTAGCGGAAGTTACAACCAAAGATCCCATCATTTTTAGCTAGAGCTATGGGGGACACGCATCGGTTCTGGGCAGGTCCCGATCACATCCCTAGTTCATTCTCCTCGTCCTCACCCTTTTCACATTTTGAATATACTCATCCCTTTAAAATGCTTCTCAATTGTTCAAATGGGAAAAAATGAGATCGATACAAGACTGGACCGGCCGGTCCTGATTAAAAAATTGAGGCTTGGAACATCTTTCCCATCGTTCCGGTCTTCGCCCCTGACCCAAAACCGGTCAGTATCGAGACCGTTCCCACCCCTCCTAGAGCCTAGAAGCATATGGCAGTTCCAGCCAAAGACAGTGGTGGTCCATTGGAGTTGAAGTGGCTGGTTGACTCGGTGCTCGGGGGCTTTCAATTTTGGTTGCTAGCAATAATGGTGCTGGCCTGCTAGGCAACCAACAGCAATGGCGACATTGCTATACAAATAATCAACTTGTACATACAAGTTTTGTTTGTTCAGACACAATTTTATTTGCAATCTTTATACGGTGAAAATTCAGCATCAAGTTGAGAATCATAAGAAAACAGAGGAACGTGAGGAGAAAAATGAGATAATTGGCTTCCCTGAAAAATGACGATGGAGATGCACACAATCATTGGAAAAATTGTAGTATGGCATCGACAAGGGAGCAATCAGAATCACTAGAAAGTAGAAATCATAGGCTCTAGACGGAGGTAGGGATGGACTTGGACGGGTCGGCCTGATCCGGGACCCAACACGGCCCGGTACAGTGCAGGCCCAACCCGACCCGACCACGCGGTATCGGAATCGGGACTGGGAGCCCGAACCAGAAGGAAGATGGGCGGGCTCCGGGATGATGAAATGGTGAACCAGCCCGGCCGATCTGAGATTGATCTCGGCCCAATTTTTTTGTTTTTTGTTTTTCCCATTCGTTGGATGCTAGGTGGGTTGGGATGGGTGGTTTTGGGGGGTTTAGGGGTGGGGGAGTAAAAATATATTCGAAAAGGCATTTTTTTTTTTAAAAAAAATGTTACGGACCCGACCCGATCCTGGTCCAGTCCGGTACAAATCCAGGTCAGTACCGGGCCTGCAACCCAAAACCTCAATCCCACCCAATCCCGTTTACTAAGCATACCACCCCCCCCCCTCCCCCCCCCCCCCCCCCCATGTATTAATTAGGCGGCATTTTAAGCTTTTTTCAGTTTCCAAATTACCCTTACCTTTATCCCTTGTCGTTACCCTATTGCTACCCCCGTCCTATTTACCCCGACCCTTCGACCCTTCGATCCCACCCTGACCTTAACCCCACCCTGACCCCCGACCCCACCCCCACCTTGACCCGACCATACCCCACCCCCACCTTGACCCGACCATACCCCACCCCCCACCTTATCCCTACCCTATCCTCCACTACCTGCCCTACCCCACCCCACCCTCACCCCTTACCATATCATTTACCCCCTATCACCTTCTCCTACCTTGACCCGACCCCACTCCTACCTCACCCACTTCCCTACCCCGACCCTACCCCTTTACCCCCTGCCCCCTACCCCTACCTCGACTCACCCCAACCCCACCCAACCCTACCTCTACCCCCACTTGTACTCCTTACCTCGATCCTACGCTTTTACCCCTACCACCTGCCCCTATCTCGACCCTACCCCGACCCCGATCCCACCCACTCTCATTACCATACCTGACCCCTACCCCTTTACCCCATATCACCTACCCCTACCTCAACCCAACTAGAGTACGAGTAGGGTGGAGGTTGGTATGGGTGGGAGTATGGGTGGTGGAGGGTAAGATCGTGACAAGGGTAGGGGTAAGAAAGGGATGGGGTCAAGGATGTGGACATTTTAATGTTAAACAATGTTTTAATATACTTACTTATTTTATGCATCGCTTATTAACGCGAGTCTTGATAAGCACCGTTTACTAACCCGTGAAGTAAACGTGTCCTTGGTCTTTGAAACTTTGATACTTTTCGTTCTTATAGGATTCAATACTTCAGTTCAGAACAACTTAAAATTTTAATCCAGTTTAAATTACAATAAAAACTTCCAAACCATCTTCACTCAACTTTCCAGCCGCGCGATCGATTAGCACAAACGAATAAAACCCACTAAAAGCACGAACTTGCACCATCAATATGCCTCCCAACAAACGGAATAATCTGATAAACAACTACTGAAATTCCAAAATTTATCCAAGTGGAAATGGGTGATCCCAATTTCCCATTGAAATCCCTATAAAGTCATAATAAAATATACTCTAGATCGAAAAAAGCAGTATGCCCAACACACATCATAGCAGAAAGAAAAAACATCAGACAAAGCTTCGACTGCCTAGGATACAAGGCTGCTGTCATTAAGAGAAAGTGAGGCGAGTTGCTCTGCAACAGGGCTGTTTGACTGTTGAACATTCCTAAGCACTTCCATAGCCTCAGCAACTTTGGCTTTTAAAGCTTCAGGTGACTCCAGCAGATGCAAAACTTCGGTTTGGTCCATCTCAAGAAGCATCCCAGTGACCTTTGCAGCTTGCTCATGCTCCAGCTGGTCAACCAGAGGGTACAAATTCTCACCCAGCATCTGAATACAACATACAGAACCACTATGTCAAATTCTACATGGTAAAGGGTGGAAAAGTTGAAAGAGTAAAGTACTCACTGTTCTCTGTTGTTCAGGTGGTGCATTTGCGAGGGCACTAGCAAGGGCTGTAATTGGTACGGGTTGTTGTCCCATGATAGGACCTTCACGGGGAAGTGTAGTGCCAATGTCATATGGAACTGGAAGAAGACCTCCAGCAGGACTGGGTACCTCTGGCAAGTTCCTTCCAGGAGGGAACCGGTATATCCTTCCTCTTGGAAGCATCTTGGGACAGAGTAAAATATTAGATTACATCTTGAAAACCAATAATATGATAGAGCAGAAACATTAGAAGCAATAAAGGATGAGGGTGTTGTAGTAGGCATGTGATGTCCAACAATAAAACATGACATGTTGATAGAACATTTTAGAACAAAGAGTTAATTTACATCTACCTCCAGAAAGGTTTGGTCACATATAAGCCCTTGATCAGTTAGATTCGCTGTAGAACGATCCTTTTCACACTGGCTTATTATTTAACATAATGACATTAACCGGCCTTGAGTGTTGGTCATCAAGGAAAATCTTTGAGACATATCTGGTGTTATGCAGTTATTTAAAAAACTCAATTCCTACTGATATCATTACATCATATCACCTTTCAGTGTCCTTTTGGTCAATCAGCCTAGAGGCTTCCTTACTAAGCTTTCAGGTTTCATATCACCTTTCAGGTTTCAGGTGCGTAGCAGAAGTCGCTAGAAAAAAAATTGACTGTTCAAAGGGCCTATTTATGATTGCTTGCACCTACTTCCTCTGAAATTTGGCCAAGTGACTATCCCTTGAGGTTTATGGAAAAATATAATAACAGAGTACACACCAGCAACAGGGTATAACATGAGTTTTGTGTCGGAATATTGAACTTGGCTGTCTTTTGTGCATTTAATTAAATAATGGACTAAAATATGCAATGGTTTATATCTTAAAAGATTCTTTTGGATGAATAATGAGGGTGAATAAATATTAAAAACACAATTCCCACCACTCTCAATCATTACATCATATCACCTTCCAGTGATCCTTTCAAAAGGATTGATTGTTCAAGAGTTTATTTGTAATTTAACTAAAACCTTGGGGCAGGTAGATCCTATTAATCCTAAAAGAAAACTTCACATGTTGTGGTAACGTATTTACATTACAGCAGCATCCAGCAAGAGGGCATAATAGACTCAGGAAGATTTATTAATTTTAAAAGAAAAACTACCTGCTGCTGTTGTTGAATCAAAGGCATTGTCTGCTGAGTTTGTTGGATAGGTGAGGTCCCACGTCTTCCACCTGGACGCTGGGCTTGCTGGCCCTGTTGGACCATTGGCATAAAAAAGTTTGGCATAGGAGCTCCTCCAGGCCTCATTCCAGGGACAAGCTGATGTTGGTATCCAAATCCAGCCTACAAACAATTGACTTTAAAATTAGCCATCATAATCAAGATGAAATAAACCAAACACAGACTTGCAAAAAGAAAGCTTCATTATCGTTGATAAATCCTTGAAACCGAAGGATACAATCAACCAGGATGGATCCTAAAACCTTAATACAGTCAGCTAACTTGCACAAAGAAAAGTTCATTATCATTAGCATCATATCTTGCCAGTCCCCAACGTGCAGAAGACATAACTCACCAGTCGCTCTAAGCATAGAATAAAGATCTGTTAGAGAGGTTTGAAGGGGCTTAACCTACATCTTTATCTATATATGACTATTTGAAATTTCATAAAAGATTAGATGAAAACATTTTAGGTGATCATATGACATTCCAATCACCTTTAAATCATTTTAGAAACATTCTAATTATCAATAAATAGACCAAAACATCCAAAGTCTTCTGCTCCAAACCTCTCTAAACCCTCCAAACCCAAAGTCTAACCTCGAATATGAGAATATTTTTATTGTTTGAGAAATAGATTAGTGATCAGATATTATTAAAAAAGAGTACCTGGTGAGGAATCATAGCCGGTGGAGCTTGGCCATAAAACATTTGCTGGCCCATGCCTGGTGCACCTGGAGGATACATTGCCATGCGAGGAGGAGCAAGGGCTGGTGCAACTGCAACTGGTCGTACTTGAGAAAACTCTTTCTGCAAGCATGTCATAACAAATAAAAATTACAAAGAGAAAGTATGCAAGTGTGCATGACACATCCAGAGATGAAAGTCCTCATATAAGCATTGTCTTAGATGCCTATCTAAAAAACAGAAGCAGTGATGTTAAGATAACAAGTAGATCCAAAGATGACAATCTGGCACACAACACAATAAAATTTCAAGTTTTCAACCACCGGAGCAAGTCTAATAGTTTAGATTACCTGCAACCTAGCTTTTCTTTCTTCTTTCCGCTGAGCGAGTGCAACATAAAGTGGCTTGTTCACTACCATTTTCCCACTCATCTCAGAGAGCTATAATAATAATACAATAATGACAAGAAAGGTTAATTGTCTTTTTTTACATAGAAATATGGAATGTTAGGCATATACGCTGATCGCAACATATCTTTTGAGCGGATATTTACTTACAGCTCTAGCAGCTTCCTCAGGAGTTGAGAAGGCAACAAATCCCGAGCCTCTGCTAACTCCACCAGAATCACGCATAACCTGAAGCATCAACGAAACAATTACACCACTTGTAAAATTAGTGAACCTGCTGAGAATGGGCTTACAACACTGACTCATTTTAAAAATTACACCATTTGTAAAATTAGGGAATGATTAATGGAATAATGAAATATTACAAAGTTGTCCATAGTAAATAATAGGTGAAGCAATAATTTGAAAATGATTTAGAGATAATGTCATTATTTCAGCCAAAAAAAAGGTTACAATAGTTGGTGTTTGGTGAAAAACAGTTTAGACAGGCTGATAAGACAAAACTGAAGCCTACTAATAGACCTAAGTAACACAGCACAGCCAGCATCAATCTAAAGGGAAGGGCTTGGAAGACGGGCACATTATAGCCGTGTGTGAAGGTTATTTTTCTTGTAATTAGATGGAGCCCAGTTCTCCTTTATAAAATAGGATGGCTTCCCCGTAAGCAAAGACTGAACCATATGGTAATTACCTTGCATGAAGTTATTGTGCCAAACTCAATGAAGAGTTCTTTCAGCTTGTCATCATCAACGCTATCATCCAAATTTTTGACATATAAATTTGCTCCTTGATATTTGTCCACTGATTCCTTTGCAGTCTGTTCAAATTTAGTTCTTAATTCTTGCTCCCTTTCTGACTTTCTTTGAGCTTTTCCAACATACCATTCTTTATCATCAAATGTCTTTCCATTTAATGCTTCAACTGCTCGAGCAGCATCATCTGTGTTTTCAAAATTGACAAACCCAAAGCACCTAGACTTGCCATCTGTATCCCTCATCACCACAGCACTAGTAATTGTCCCAAATTCACCAAAAGTTTTATTCAGATCCTCATCTGTTGTGGATTCTGATAGGTTCTTCACAAAAATATTATTGAATTTTGTCTGAACATTAGCAGTGTCTCTTTCTTGCTTACGGTGAAAATGTCCAACATATACTTGCTTGTCATTAATGAGCATCCCGTTCAACTTGTCTATGGCATTTTGAGCAGATTGTTCATTGTCAAATTGAACAAAACCATATCCCTTAGACTGTCCATTAGAATCAGTTGCTATTTTGCATGAAAGTATGTTGCCAAATCTTGAAAAAGTATCATGCAAGGCTTTGTTGTCAATTGACTTGTCCAAGTTCTGCATGACAAAAAAGCCTAATATGAGCATATGATCAGTGGAACAGATATATTTAATATTAAATTGAGATGTACAACCATTATATGTAAAAGTAGCACAATAATATTTGTCTACAATGTACACCTTGATAAATATATTTGCAGTTCCACTCTTTCTAAGAGTAGGGTCACGATGAGAGTACATGATCCTGATGCACTTGCTATTGATAGGAGTGAAGTTCAAAACCTCCAGTGCCCTTGCGGCTACAACAACAAAGAAAAACTTAAGTATTCAACCCTTTTGATGCTTCTCATAATGGTGTAGGTGTATCATATATGCATCCAGTTGTTGGTGGTAGTTATTATTTTTGGTTGTTGTTGTAATTAATTAATTAGTAATACAACTTGAAGTTTTTAACAAATATAAGAGTGGACAGAGAATTGGGCAAACTTGAAACCATCACATATTGTTACATGGGAAATATTCTTTCTACATACAAAACATATCAAATCATTCAAAAGAAATTGGAAAAATATGCCTAAAACCACAAGGCTAAAGTTATGCTGCCACATCGAGCAAATTATAAATTTCAGGTGATAAGATTGATCGCCAATGAAAAAGTCAAAAACGCAATTCAGAATGAAAAAACTTGCAAAGACCCTAAGCAAATACCAACTAGCAAAAACAAACAAGTGAGAGCAATAACAAACTCTAATGGAAGTTACAGTTTCCAACTTTATTTTATAGCTTAAGTGCTTATTAGACTGAAATGCAAAAGGTCAATTGTGATGCTTCGTACAGACACTTGAATTGTAGATTTGAGCTTATCTAACTGTCAAATAGTCTATTTGAGCAATTCAGCCCATTCATAAGTCGTTGGAAAAACATAAACATTTACCTGCAGGTGCAACACCACAACAGTACAGAGTAAAATTACAGCTAAAACTATGTCCTTGTTTCCAAGACTCAGTCCGGCAAGTTTCACAAGAAAAGTGATTCGTAGTTGCCTTACTCGCCCATATATAGCACAATTCCTCGTTTAAGACATTCAAATGCTAATCCAAAACACATGCACACACTTGCAAAGACAAAGTCTTCAATCAAAATTTACAGCAAATGCAAACCAAGTGCATGCAGTGATTCAATTAATAGTTGCATGTAGAAGAATACTAACCATCCGGAGGATTCGCGAAATTCACGTAACCATAGCCGAGAGATCGACGCGTGCTGAGGTCCCGGCAAACTCTAACCGACACAACCGGGCCAATCTGGCTGAAGACATCAAAGAGCTGCGAGTCAGTCACAGTGAAGTCCAAGTCTCCAACATACAGAGACGTCGGCGAGAACTGGCTCGGAGCCCCTGCACCAGCAGAGTTAGAGGCTACGCCTGCAGCAGCACCCGGTGCCACAACTCCGTTGGGGGCTGGAACCGGACTCTGATGCTGCATCTGAATCTGCGCCATTTCCACACAACCTGAAAATGATCTTTCTTAGCTCCCTGTCTACCGTCCAATCCTGAACAAACCCTAGAAAGGAAAAAATCAAGGAAATTCCAACAATGTGACTGAAATTAGAATGAAATGAGATGAGTAAACAAAAACAGAACATGGGGATAAGAACCTGGGATAAAAAGTTCCGCCGGAGAGCCGATCGAGTTCCTGAGCAAAGGGTGAAACTTTTTTTTAGACGGCAGAGAGAACTGCACCGCAAGCCGGCGAAAGCGAGACCGCAACGGTTTTAAATACGAAGGTGAGCAGACAGGCAGTTCACAACAGAACCCTAGTAGAACCTGCGAGTGAAATCGGGACCGTCAAAGTCGACACGTGTTTAATAAAATACGGAAGCGTTGACGTGGTGAAATCTCGAGGGGTATTGATCGATTCTCCATACTGCTAAAATGGGGGCGACGTTATCTAAAGTATGGGTAATGAACGACTGGAATTAGGTGTTAAGGAATTTTAATTTGATTCTTGGAAAATTAGCGATCAATGAGAATAATTTTATTCACATTTTTATTTAAACTTTTTAATTAAAAAATTGTACGGAAGTCTCTACTTTATATCCAGTTATTTATAGTTATGCAAAAAAATACTTTCACAAAAAAAGAATTACACGTCATCCACGAGGCATCAAAATCGATCGGACAAATATTTGAGGAGATGTAAGCTGAATTTTGCTCACACTTTGATAGAAAGGAAGTGATGTTCTATCTTAAGTCATTGCTTGAAGTTGAACTCGAAACCTTTTTCCTTGTAACACTCTCTTATCTTTTCCTACCAGGTGAGCTACGCACCTGGTACAAAATATAACTATTGCATTGAATCACACAGAGTATTATCTTAATTGCAATGTATTTATCCTGAGTAAAGTTTTATGCTTTTAAGTGACAAATTTTGCATAGATCTCTAGTCACATTGTCCACTAATTATTTTCACACAATTAACACGTTGCATTTTCTAAAAGTGTTAGAATTCATGTTTACAAAAATGACTGAATAATATAAGGTTGATCAGTGTTTTTTTGCTTTAGCGCAGCTAAGAGAAATACTTCCTACTTCGTAATAAACTATATCTACATTGCTTGCTTCAACTACTTAAATAAAATTTGTTGTCTTAATTTGTTGTATTTAGAAATAAAAAAACTTTTGTAAATTCCAATTGAGATGACTCGATCAACCCATTAGGAATGGCTAGACTCCGGGAAAAAGATGATGTGAGCATTTTCCGGTTTTCCCCTAGATATGAGTTTAATATTCAGGAATGATGAATTTGCAGTTGAATAAATTTCCAGCATCCCCATGTAGAAGTAACATTACTCTCAGACTTCCAATGACCTGATTTTCAAACAAATTTATCGATGACATCACCGCTCACCGCCTTGTCGCATCGCTCGCCGCGGCCACCGGCCAACGGCCGCGGCCCCGCAGGCAACATGACCCGGCTGCCACAGTCGTCCCCTCCGTTAATCCCTAGCCCCATCCCCTACTCTGCAAGGCTACAATCTGCCTTCTCCCCCCTCTCCAGCTCCGGCCAACCCAACCAAAGCTCCGACTAGCCCAACCACAGTTCTGACCAGCCCCACCAGCCCCACCCAACACTGATACGCTCCTCTCCATTCTCAGCCCACCATCGCATGACCCTATCAGCCTAACCCAAAAAATTAGGCGGCCTACCAGATCTTGAACATAGCTGTTTGCAATCGAGCCGCCGCAATGAGACTGCGGCGTATTCAGAGTTATCCTCCTTGGATTTACCCCATTCACTCTCAAACAGAAAGGGAAGAAAAAGAATGGTAACTTAGATGGCAGTGCGACACTCTAGTCCACTGTTCCAATGAGTTTGTAAAAGCTTGTTACAACACTCAGATTCTAGCACTAAAAAAGCTCTCCACATCTTCTTCAAGTCTAGTATCTTTGTCATCCGGGATGCACTTCCTTGCTTCCTAATGATTGGCCTTTTTACTGAGCTTGTTGAAGTATCCTCACTTCACTCCAGTTACTTTGGTGTCCTTTTCAAACAAGAAGATGGATTTGAAAGTTTTCAAAGTGTTTTCTCAACGTCTTCGTACTAGATGTGTAGATGAATATTTCAAAGTTTATTAAAGAACTGAGACGAACTTTCTTTGAGAGATGAATGAAGGATATGCAGGTTTTTCTTTCAATCTCTCGTATGAACTCTTGTGTAGGTTTTATGTAATTTATCTCAAGAGTATGCTTGGTGGATTTCAAAATTCGTAGTTGTCCAGTCCTTTGTGGTGTATCTTATATATAGGTAGAGGTCTTCCCGTTGGAGTGTAGAAGACATCTTCATTAAATACATGAACTATAGATTTGACCGATCAGTTCTCATATTCTTGTCAGCATACTATTTCACTAGAAGTCCACATCACCTCTCAACCTGCCACACCTTTCACAACTTCACCTCAATCTCCCTGTCCCCCAAGCACCAACCTTTTCCCCTCACCCACCAAAACACCCTCTCCAACTCCTAAACAGAAAACCCCATCTAAAACTCCTTCACCCTATAACCGAAAAAACCCCTCAAGAGAGAGAACCCCCTCACCACCTCCTAACCACCAAAACATTATATCTCACAAGAAGACTACACCTTCTCCCACCCAGAACAAATCACCCTCACCCCTGAAAACTAAAACACCAGAAACCTCATCCAAAAAGGTTCCAATCCCACCTTCAACCCCTACAAAGACATCATTCCTATTGAAATGTTCGTAGGGGTACGCAACAACATTTGCCAACCGAGAGTCATTCATGCCTTGAATGATCTTTTGCATCCTTTTCTTATTTGCAACAATCTCTGGTAGTGCATCCATGTCGCGCATCATTCCGGTGATGACGCAGTCAATGAGTTACTGAGCCTCCTTTTCAGTGAGGTCGGAGATGTTGATGAAGCCCATTTTCAGAGTTCGAAGCTTGTAGATATGGGGTTTTTAGAGAGAGAGAGAGAGAGAGAGAGAGAGCTTGAATGATAATAAAGCGTAAGATGGTTGAGGAGATTGATGGGGGTCTAAATTGATCTGGATTGTGGATGTTTGATATGATAGTAATGGTTCCGAGGACGGTAATGATGAAAAGGCGCAATAATAATTGTGCGGCTGTAATAACTCCAAGGGTATAGAAGTAAATGAACCCACTTAAGTAAATAGGTCAAAACTACTCTTCGAATTTACCCAAGTCCATGAACTTTTGATAATACAGAAGTGTATCCAGTTCTGTTTGATTTCCTCAATACAAGTTTCCACTTCTGGTTGATATCTAAAGATGTTCTAGCTCAAGCATCTCTGGGAAGATCATCCATCATACCAAGTTCTTCTCTTAGCTTATTGAACCTTGTTTCACTAAGAGGTTTGGTGAGGATGTCTGCTAATTGATCTTCTATTGGTACATGATCCATACATATATGCTTCTTTTCAACATGATCTCTGATGAAGTGATGCATGATCTCACAATGCTTAGTTCTAGAATGTAGCACAGGATTCTGGGTGATTGCAATGGTACTTAATTTGTCACACATGAGCTTGATCTCCTTTGCGTAAATCTCATCATCCATGAGTTGTTGCTTCACCCAAAGAAGTAATCAAGGACAACTATAGTATTGATGGGCACCTAACAACAATCATTCAATTGCTACAGTAGAAGCAAACAGCGGATAAATATTCCGTACATGATGGTTTGTTAAGGAGAAAGGAGAGGATTGTTATTGGGAATGAAGCCACTTTGAAAAATAAAATTCTAGATTGGCACCATGCTTTAGGAGAAGCAGGACATGTAGGGAGGGATGCTGTAACACCCTGGCCCCGTAGGCCCCGGGGTAATTACTTCTGATCTCTAGTACTGTCCTCACAAACCGCCACTAGCCTTTTTCGCGCACTTTGTCCTCACTCGTGCGCGCCCTGAGAAACTTCCCAGGGGGTCACTCATCCCAAGACTACTCCCGTGCAAGCACGCTTAACTTTGGAGTTCTTGGCTAATGAGCTCCCTTAAAAGGAGATGCACCTTGTTGGTATGAGTAGTATTATTAATCCGTTTAAATTAAATCTCAAGTATTACAATCACCCCCACTTAGGAACGCAACGTCCTCGTTGCGCCCATAAACCAATCTCAATCATATCCCATAATCTTTTCCCCTGCTAAGTGCCCGCCCGATATCCAACGGATTAGCACATTGTCGCAGGGTTGCTCTGATACCATTTGTAACACCCTGGCCCCGTAGGCCCCGGGGTAATTACTTCTGATCTCTAGTACTGTCCTCACAAACCGCCACTAGCCTTTTTCGCGCACTTTGTCCTCACTCGTGCGCGCCCTGAGAAACTTCCCAGGGGGGCACTCATCCAAGACTACTCCCGTGCAAGCACGCTTAACTTTGGAGTTCTTGGCTAATGAGCTCCCTTAAAAGGAGATGCACCTTGTTGGTATGAGTAGTACTATTAATCCGTTTAAATTAAATCTCAAGTATTACAGATGCAACCTTAAGGAGGATTAAGACATTATTTTACTGGAAGGGTCTCAACAAGGAGGTGAGCAACTACATTAGAGAATGTTTAGTTGGTCAAGCAAACAAACATGAATGTAGCTTATCCGGGGCTTTTGCAACCATTACCTATCCTGAGGAAGTTTGGGTAGATATATCATTAGATTTCATAACGCTATTACCATAATCACAAGGAAAAGAGGTGATATTGGTAGTGGTAGACAGACTTAGTAAATGGGCTCATTTTGTGGATCTTGCAAATCCTTTCACAGCAATTGAAGTAGCTCAATTCGGATAATATCTTCAAGTTACGTTGTTGGCCCGAGAGCATTGTGAGTGATAGATATGTTGTCTTCTTAAGTCAGTTTTGGAAGGGGTTATTCTCTTTACAGGGATAAAATCTAATCTTTCTTCTGCCTATCATCCATAGACAGATGGTCAAACAAAAATAGTAAACAAATGTTTGGAGGTTTACTTAAGGTGTATGTGTGGCGATACACTTAAAGGATGGAGTGTATGGTTACCCTTAGCTGAGTGGTGGTTTAACACTCATTTCCAAGCATCAGTGATGTGAGTTTTCTTACACTTAAAATATGTAGCAGTACAGGACTAAAGTACGAGTATCGTCTTCACATGGACGGAAAAAGGGAATCAAGAATTAAATAAATTCAGCTATAAAAATAAATAAAATAAATGCGATGTGTGAGATTTGGATTTTTGGAAAAATAACATGTGAATAAATGATTAAAATAAATGGATTCTTTCTAATTAATGACGATAGGG